ATTTTGATAGACTGTTGGCCTTTGAACGATGCAGGGGTAGGTAGGGACGCCAGTCCCCAGTTAGGAATGACAGGTACTTGCCTCCTCCCAAATGGTATGTATGTATGTATGTATGTATGTATTTATTTATTTATTTATTTATTTTAATTGTTGTTCAAGTACAGTTTTCTGACTTTTACTCCCATCCCAGCTCACCACCCCCACCCAGTGCTCCCCACCTCCCTCCCATTTCCACCCCTCCTCAGTTGTTGTCCATGTGTCCTTTATACTTGTTCCTGTAAAACCTTCCCCTTTTCCCCTGAAATTCCCTCCTCTCTCTGGTCACTGTCAGCCTGTTCTCTATTTCAGTGTCTTTGGTTATGTTTTGCTTGCTTGTTTTATTGTTTAGGTTCCTATTAAAGGTGAGATCATATGGTATTTGTCTTTCACTGCCTGGCTTATTTCACTCACCATAATGGTTTCCAGTTCCATCCATGCTGTTGCAAAGGGTAGGAGCTCCTTCTTTCTGCTGCATAGAATTCCATTGTGTAAATGTACCATAGTTTTTTGATCCATTCATTTACTGATGGGCACCTAGGTTGTTTCCAGCTCTTGGCTATTGTAAATTGTGCTGCTATGAACATTGGGGTGCATAGGTTCTTTTGGATTAGTGTTTCAGGGTTCTTAGGATATAATCTTAGCAGTGGAATTGCTGGGTCAAAAGGCAGATCCATTTTTAGTTTTCTTAGAAAATTCCACACTGTTTTCCATAATGGTTGTACCAGTCTGCAATCCTACCAACAGTGAACTAGGGTCCCCTTTTCCCCACAACCTCTCCAACACTTGTTGTTTGTTGCTTTGTTTATGATGGCCATCCTGACTGGTGTAAAGTGGCATCTCATTGTGGTTTTAATTTGCATCTCTCTGATAGCTAGCGATATTGAGCATCTTTTCATGTGTCTCTAGATCCTCTGTATGTCCTCCTTGGAGAAGTATCTGTTCAAGTCCTTTGCCCACTTTTTAATTGGGTTGCTTGTCTTCTTAGAATGGAGTCGTGTAAGTTCTTTGTATATTTTGGAGATTAAACCCTTGTCTGAGGTATCATTGGCAAATATGTTTTCCCATACAGTTGGTTCTCTTTTTATTTTAATACTGTTTTCTTTAGCCGTGCAGAAGCTTTTTATTTTGATGAGATCCCATTTGTTTATTCTTTCCTCTATGTCCCTTGCTGTAGGGGACATATTAGTAAAAATGTTGCTGCGTGAAATATCTGAGGTTTTCCTGCTTATGTTCTCCACTAGGACTTGAATGGTATCACGGCTTATATTTAGGTCTTTTATCCACCTTGAATTTATTTTGGTGTATGGTGTAAGTTGGTGCTCAATTTTTTTTTTTGCACGTAGCTGTCCAGTTCTCCCAACACCATTTGTTGAAGAGGCTATTTTTACTCCATTTTATGTTGCTGCCCCCTTTGTCAAATATTAATTGACCGTAGAGACTTGGGTTTATTTCTGGGTTCTCTGTTCTGTTCCATTGGTCTATGTGCCTGTTTTTATGCCAGTACCAGGCTGTTTTGATTACAGCGGCCTTGTAATACAGTTTGATATCAGGTATTGTGATATCTCCTACTTTGCTCTTCTTTCCCAAAATTTCAGCTGCTATTCGGGGTCATTTATGGTTCCATATAAATTTTTGAAGTGTTTGTTCTATGTCTGTGAAATATGCTATTGGTACTTTAATAGGTATTGCATTGAATCTGTAAATTGCTTTAGGTAGTATGGACATGATGTTAATTCTTCTAGTCCATGAATACGGTGTATGTTTCCATTTGTTTGTGTCTTCCTTGATTTCTTTCTTCAGTGTTGTGTAGTTTTCTGCCTAAACGTCTTTTATGTCCTTGGTTAGGTTTATTTCTAGGTGTTTTATTTTTCTTTCTGCTATATCGAATGAGATTTTTTTCTTGATTTCTGCTTCTGCTGTTTCATTGTTGATTTACAAAAATGCCTTTGATTTCTGGATATTGACTTTGTACCCTGCTGTTTTGCCAAGCTCATTTATTAGGTTGAGCAGTTTTGGGGTGGAGTCTGTAGGATTTTCCATGTACATTATCATGTCATCTGCAAACAGTGACAGTTTTGTTTCCTCCTTTCTGATTTGCTGTCTTTTCTTGTCTGACCACTGTGGCCAACCTCCTCCCAAACTAACTACCAAATAGCTTGTTGATTGGAAGCCTTACCAATAACAAACAGTTGGTTAATATGTATTTTGTATATTATGTGTCATATACTATATTCTTACAATAGAGGAAAACATGTACAGTATTTATTGAAAAAAATCCACCTATGTTGTTCAAGGGTCCTTCCCATGTTGTTCAAGGGTCACCTGTTTGGAGTCTGCAAGGAATGCTTATAATGAGATATGATTTGTGTCTTAAGAGTTACCCAGCTTAAAAATACACAAGCCTTGATTCTTTGGAGAACTGTGGAGAAGAATTAGTGTTCCTAAAGGTGTTTTGGCAAAAGCAGGTAACAGTGGAATTTGAGAAATGCCTAGCCATTTCATGCACTCAACACCTGGAATCTAAGAGGCTCTTCTGTGTTTATTGAACCTCTAATGTCCCAGGTAGGACACCACTATGTATGCCCTAGGAAGCGTTCAGACAACTTTAGACAATATACAGCAGTGATAGAGACACTGCAAGGAAGAGTCCTGTGACTTCAGAAATAGTAGAAAACGATATAGTTCTTGCCTTGTCTGGAAGACTTTCTGTTGGAAATTACCATGTTTTGCTCTGGGTGAGGACTGGTTTCTTCCTTGCATAAGACTTTTGTGTTAGTGTTCAGAGTGCAAGGTGAAATAAAAACAAGTGCAGGGACATGCAGGTGTCCTGAGTCCTTGCTTGTCTGAATAAGAACACGCTCCTGGCTTGCTGTGTTCCCTCTCACCGGACTTGAGAATATAAGCTGTCCTTTCCTTTTTATGAATCAGTACCGGCAATTACTGTTACAGTTGTGGGCAAGTTTTTCTCTTGTTCCTTTGGATTTACTTTGCCCTGGGATATATCAGAGAAATTTTACTTACCAAGAGCGCCACCTGCTGTTCAATAAACAAGAGGGTAAATCTTGCAATGGGTTTTGCATCAGCACTGAAGCAAACAGTAGTTTGTTTCAATACTGTACTATATAATACTGTATACTTTAGTTACATGGTTCCAGAATCACTTCAAAGAGGCTTTTTATTTCATGAGATGAGGAAGTATGTAATTATGTAACTTCTAATATTCTAGTGGAACGTTAGCAAAAAAAAAAGCTAATCTCATCGCATTCTTTTCTGTTAATATCAACTCCCTAGGCAATTTAATAATTGTATATTAGTTGCGCTTCATTTGGTAGATTTGCCGCTTGTCAGCAACCACAACAAATTGCTACAATGGGAACAGTAACCTCAAGGACAAAAATGGAGGTGGGATAACAGGACACCGTTGCCTCTCAGTAACGATTAACAAACTACAAAAAGAATTTACGGTATCTTTGTTCTTCCAGCAGCCCAATGAGATGCAGCGGCTGATTCTCTTTGACATTCTAAACTACTTAAAAATCCTGTCAGCTTTGGAAAAAAGTGTCAGAGCTTTGGAACAATGGAACATTAAGGTTTTTGTCCATACAAAATACTCTGAATATATAGTTAGTTTTGCTGGATAACATATAACCTTGACTTTAAAAATTCAAAATAAAGTCTGCTCTCCATCAACCCAAAATGAAGGGCCATAGCATTTAAAGACTGGCCCGGAATTATTAGCTCTGTGTTAGGGTAGAAATCTGCTTTAAAAGGGAAAAACCTAAATCAATAGAACAGAAACTTTCTTTAATATAATATAGCAAATGAATCAGGTTTTGGAGTAACAGAATTGTTAGTGTGCAAGTTTTTTCAAAAGATTTTAGCAGATTGAAATGAGGCTTATTTAATGCCAAATTTAACTTGTTTTTTCTTTAGCTAATGTATTCCCATCATCCCGTAAAACTGACCAATTCTTGTCCTGACCAGTGTGGCTCGGTTGGGCATTGTCCTGCAAACTGAAGTCGCCAGTTCAGTTCCTGGTCAGGGCACATACAAAAGGCAACCAATCGATGATTCTCTCTCACATCAGTGTTCTTCTCCCTGTCTTTCTTCCTTCCCGTTTCTCTAAAAAATAAAATCTTTCAAAAATCAACACGGACCAATTCTTGAGTTTACCCCTAAATCTCTCTCCAGCCCAGCCTCTCTCTGTCCCTGCCACCACCTTTCCTCCTGTGTCTCCCCCGCAGAATCCATCCAAACACTTCTCAAATGTCGTTGACTGGCTCGCCAACTGGACGCGAGAGTCTCAGCCCTCAAACTCCACTTAGCTGCATCCGTCCTGCCTTCAGAGTCTCTCTCCTGCCACTTCACCCCACACTGTATACCCTCCCTTTGGAACAGCTTGGCGCTCCCAGTAGAACGGGCTGGTCTGTTTCCTCGCCTTTTCTGTGTCCCTTCTTTTTGGAAGGCCCTTTCCATCCACAGCTGGCCCTGGAGCAGCTCAGATGTCATCTTCTCCAAGAAGCACCTGAGCCCTGGGCTGTGCTGATAGTCCTGAACTTCCCACAGCACCCAGCAGAAACCGGGGTGACACTATGTCGAGGGTCACCTGCTTTTGACGCTCACCCCAGGTAGGCTGTAAAGCTACTGGAGGACATGGACTGTCTTACATTGTAACCCCAGAACCGTGTACAGTTTGGCTCAAAAATGTTTAACTGCGCCCCGGTTGGTATGGCTCACTTGGTTGGAGTGTCATCCATGAACTGAAAGGTCACGGGTTTCCATTCCCGGTCAGGGCACATGCCTGGGCTGCAGGAAAGGCGACTCATGTTCTTCTCGTGCACTGGTGTCCCCTGCCTTCCCCTCTGAAGTCAGTAAGCATGTCCTCAGGTGAGGAGAAAGACGGTAATGTTTAACTGCATGTGATGTTAAACTGAATTAGAGAAAAAGTACAACTGCACATATTCAATATATGTTTTAGGTCATGTATTTATTAAATATTATTTTTCAACTTCACACTTAAAAACATCAGAACTTGCGAACTCTCAACCAGACAGGCTAAAATGACGAGGACTGATGACGGCGTTAACAAACGGACAAGGGCAGCGCTCACGCTCTGCTGTGGGAGCGCAAACTGGCAGTACCCACCGAGGCCAACCATAGATGACTCGCCCTGTGACCCAGCAGCCCAGCCCCGAGCACAGGCCCAGGAGAAGGGACGGGAGTGTTCTGAGCAGCAGTATGTGTAACAGCCAGCCCCAGCTGAAGTAATTCAAATGTCCCTTAATGTAGGGTAGACATATAAACTTTGGCATATTCACACAAATACTACGCTACACGTACCAACAAAGAAGTACTTTATGAAGTTAAAAAACGAGCTAAACGGACCTGTGGCGACAGAGAAGAAAACGGGTCACTCAGGGGTTGTGGGGATTAGCAAGGCGGAGGCACTTGTGAGGACACCTTGGGTGGCACCTGACAGTCGCCCAGCTTCACAGTAAAGCGCTCTGCGTCTTCTGTACAGACAAGTCACAGTGCACCCCAGTAAAGAAAAAACACGCCAGGGTGTGGAGGTACAGCCGCGACACAAAAGTCAACTGATTGAAGTGTGTGTCCCTTTGCTCTAGAACATGAAAACAGTTTTAAGTATGTCTGAACAAATGGTATTCCTTTTACTGGAACAGTTTCAACCTTGGCTTTTAAAGGGTCATAATACGTTTTCAGTAATTTCTGTGTTACGTAAACTAGGTTTGCTATGTTATATATGCTAGTTACTTAGCACCAAGTTTTAGCCACTCATTTTGCTAAATTTTCAGAAAACAACTAAACTCTGGCCTATAGAATTACAGTGGCTATTTCTTACAATACTCCAAAAGAATTTTGTTTTCCTATCTACTTTACAATCTGATGCCAAACAAAATTCTTTAAAATATATAACATGTATTTCCTGTTAACATTTGGGAGGAAAAGGTTTGAAAAATCTAAAAACTACCTGAGTATCCTAACACAAAATACTCTGCCCTCTGGATTGTATTTTTGGTCAATATGCCTAATACTATAAATACTAACAGTATTGGGAATGAGTTTTAACATTCATAAGGAAATACTGAATTTAACCAAATATTTAATTTCTTATTAAATATTTTGAGGAAAGTGCAAGTAAAAAGATAAACATTTTAAAAGGGTTATGAGCAAGAATTAACAACAGTATCTGAAATTATGCCTGTAAACATACAGAACTCTGGGCTACAATATATATAAGGCAAGAGTGAATATAAATACAGGGACTTTAGAGAAATACCTGAAGTTACAATGTCAGATGTACATATGGAATAGAATGCTTTGTGCTGGGTGCATGACCTAGAGCACAAACTACAAATCTTAGTGTTAACCAGAACTTCCTGAGCGGCCGACACTGCACGTATCAATGGTGGTATGCGAGACCCACTTTTTTTTTCAGAGACTGTTGCTGTTTTTGACTTTGCTGCTGCCACCACCTTCAAGGCACAGATCCAGGTGCTCGTTAATCTGAGACTCCACAACTTCGCTCTGACAGACAGGACAGCTGACCTTTCTGCTGGGACCAGATGAACTGCTGGAATTCTGCGCCACAGCCACGGGATGTGAGCTACACTCTGGATCATTCCCACCGCTCTGTGTTTTCTCTTTCTTGATGAAAAATTTGTTAAAAACAGTCCTGTCTTCCAGCCTCGGCCGTTTACTCAGGAACTCGTTTTTAGACGCACTCTCGCCCTGGGATGCGCGCGTCAACTCCGCCGCTTTCAGAGAATTTCTCAGAGCCGTCTCAGAGGAGGACGCCTTTCTCTGAGAACTAGAAGGGGCGGAGTTTTTACTGACGTCACCACCGGTTCCACTTTTCCACGGGGACCCAGTCACGGTCCAGAAGGCCTTCTGACTGGCAGCTGACACTCTAGGAAAGTAGTTGCTTAAAACATTTTGGGGGCTGCTGCTGAGAACAGGAGAGACCAGAGGCCCTGTCTTCCTCAAACCACTCTGCTCAGATTTCAGCTCAGCGTTAGGACTTGGTCTTCCGACATTGGCCGAGTGGTCCTGACTTAGAAGATCTCGGGTTTTGGTGATAGCACGTGGGGTGGCGCACTTCCCAGACGAAGGTGCCTTGTTTGTTCCTCCTAGAACACGTCCTTTCCCACTGAATGGGACAACTCTGTTGGGTTTATCTGCAAAAGATAACCAAGTAAAGTTTTCCTTGAGTCAAAACTAATACAGCAACAAATATCCAGCCAACGGGTAGTTTTTGAAAACAAACGCTGTTTCATCCTCATTTAGATCCATATAACTACCTATTAATGAAAGGAAAAATTTTACTGTCCGAGAACTCATACTGGGCACGTGGAGGACAGAACACGCTCTGCTACGCAGACACGGCGTCCCACCGTGCCGAGGCCAACGCGGACTCTGAGTTTCACGGCGGGGGACCTGCCACCGCACTGGCTTCCTCACAACAAGGAGAACGCACTCTCCACAGACCTTCCTCGACAACTCCACGACTTACCATCTCAGGTTTGGGGGACACAACTCAGGTCCCTGGGTCCTATCACATCCAATCCGCAACTTCCCAGGGAGCATTTTTAAGAATAATCTGGCTGCCTCTCAAAAGGCAGGGACCCCGGACTTCAGTCTGAAGGTGAAGTCCTAGCACACACGTCATACTCTTCTCCCAGTGACAGTACAGACACCCAGGGAGAAGCCACCTGCACAGAATCCAACTGATAGGAAGGGCTGTAGTGACAGCTTGCATTCTGTGCACTGTTTTTTGAATGACTTTTTATTCTGACAATCTTTTTGCCTTATGTTTTCTAATGACTCACCAAGTCAAGATAGGGGAGTCAAGATAGGGAAATGGGGTTTTACCCTCAAATACTATCAGTGGAAACGATTTCTACTTTTACGTCCACCTATAGAGAGCACAGGATGTTTTTCTACCATCTCCACTCGAAAGCTTCTAGACACAATCCTTAAGCTTCTCTTAACACCCGTTCTCTAAAGGACAGTCCCGTCGTCCTCACTGTAGCTGCGGCTGTGGGAGAGCTGGGAGAATGTACACCGAGTTACCTTTATTGTCTGCAGCTGCTAGTTTGGTCTTTCCCTTGCCTTTTCGGGAGTAGTTCTCTGGCTCCTTGATCTTCACGTACGTGCCTCCGCAGGTGCTCTGGTGCTCGGCCCACCAGTAGTCGTGGGCGGAGGGCGCCCTGTTGGTCGCCCGCTTGACGTAGCCGTAGTAGGGCTTCCTGAACTGGCACGGCCCGTCACAGCGCCACCAGTGCCGCCGGTACTCGTCCACCTCGTCGTGGAAGGTGTGGTATATCTGGGGGAGAGACGGGTCTCAGCGTTCGGTGGGCAAGTGAACAGTTTTCAGGAAATAGGTAAGACACGTTGTTTTAAAGCCTTCCAGTTTCCCAGAGCTTTCTGAAATTTTATTTTGGGAAAGACAGCAACTATATTAGCTTCTGTTCAAAAGTTCATTTTAATGGGAAAGAGCAGCAGTTAATACTTAACAAACTGTGTCAAGATTGAAAAATGTGGACCGCCCCCCCAAAAAAAAAACCTTACAAGAAAACACAAAGCCATTGTATGTGTTCGAAGTTTTAGAAAGCAAATTTTAAAATGATCAAAAATTAGGGTGAAGACAAGAGTTCATGTAATGCCATAGTAGTAAGTAAGAACGGTCCCCAACGAGTACTAGCCCCAAAGGCTCTGGAGGACTATGTCTGTACGCGCTGGACCCCGACCACGCAGACATCTTGCCCGGTGCAGCCCCCGCTGAAGCCCGCTCTGCGCATTTGCACGGCTCTTTGCTCGTGTCTTTGTAATAAGCCAGTGGGCTATCATTTTGTCTATTTACAGATGAAACAGTCTCCAGAATTCGAATGTTTCCATCTTCACGCCACTAGTGGCTAATCCGAGCTTGGCCCAGTGAAGGTGCGCTCAGTATTTGCTGACTGAGTGCACAGAGAGCTCCATTCACTTGAGCAAAATTCTCTGTGGATGTGCTTTTCACTCTTCAATCAGGACCATTTTGCTTCACCCCCTGGACAAAATGTTACTTAGAACTCAAGCAGAAGACAGAGAAGAGTTTTGATGGAAAGGGAGGTCAGCCCTCCCACCTGGGTGGCAATGAGATGGCAGGGCACCCTTTAAAACAGACGCTCCTAAATAACACTGAGTACCGTCCTTCTGGCTTCTCAGTGGGACATTCCGATCTGCATAAGATAAGGAGCATCTGCGTATAAGGTTTTTAAAGTCAAAGACAATGTAACTTTTTAATAAATTCCCCTTGTAGGAAAGAATGCTACACTTTCCATAACTCTACAGATAACTAAAATTCTGTTACTTAGCAAGCATGCAAACTGCACATTGTGTTCGGAGAAGAGACTGGAGGACAGAGGTTTGGGGCAGAGGGATGGAGGATGCTGCTTTCTCTCACACTGAGAACTCTGCTTACTAAGTCACTGACAAAAAATCCGGGAATTGCCTCTGTTTTGCTTCCATCTCCCATAACTCCTGCAGCCTGGGAGTGTGACTTTTTAACAATGCAGTCACTAAAATAAAAATGTTCTGCAGTGTGAAGCTGGATGCCCTGTGGGGTTTGTTATAACAGATGTAACCTGACAAAGCAAGGGTGTCCACTCGATCACACCTCTCCTACATAAAAACACACCGGCATCCAAGATAAAAGAATGTATCCTCTTCCCACTGAGCAACAGGAAGTATACCAGGACCCTGCTTCAAGTACAAATTCTAAGGTGGAAGGTTTTTATACTGACATTACTTTTTTGATAACCTAGATTTTATGTGATTGTTATTTAGTGCAAGCTACTTTCTTCATGGTGAAAGTAACTGTGCCCACTAATTATACGAGTGCTTTAGAAACACTGACAGCTAGAAAAAAATACATCGAGTGTGAGCACTTCTCATTCTTTGTCACACTGGCCTTTATTGCATTTTAAAGGAAGGAAAAACCCAAAATAGTGAAGAACTTTTTTAAATTTGTTTTTTTAATTGAATTTTAGAGAGAGAGGAAGGGGGGAGAGAGAGGGAGGGAGAGATTCATTTGTTCTTCCACACTTGCTTATACATTCATTGGCTGACTTTCATATGTGCCCTGACTAGGGATCGAACCTGCAGCCTTGGTGTGTGGGGATGCTGCTCTAACCAACTGGTTACTGGCCAGGCCAAAGTACCAAAGAAGTCAATCTACGTTGGAATGAATGTTCTATTTGGTTCACTTGTGGGGCGCTAGCTACATTAAATACCTCATGTAGAGGTCCAGGAAGAGCAGTAAGAGTCACCCTGTGTTCACAGACGACAGAATAAAATACTGGGGAAGGTTCAGTATCTGAGGAGACTCAGAGGACAGAGGAGTCACGGCCCACTGGGAAGACGAGAGCTTGCTGACAAAGAACAGAAATGGCGTGTTTGGGGGAGGGTTTTGAGGAAAGGCACGGTGGTGACAGGTTCAGTTAGACACACAAGACCTAAGCAGGGGAATTGTGGGAGGTAAGACAAAAGCAACAGAGCATTTATTTGATAAAATGAAGTAATAACAATAAAAACAACTGAGTTCTAATAAACTGCAAAAATGTTTTGCATGTAAACATTCTGCGATTTCCTTGTGATTACGTGTCGCAGTGTATTTAACGGGTGGCCCAACGCAACTCTTCCAGCCTGGCCCAGGGACGCCACAAGGTCGGACACCCTGTCATGGCAGGAAACTGACAGGTAGAAGAGTTAAACCAGCAGGCCCCACAGTCAGTAACTGGTGTGAGCCCGAGCAGTCGGACTCCTGCATCCCAGGCTCTGCCATCTGCCCCAACGTGGTGTTGACACGGGAATCAAAGGAGACCGCAGAGGAACAGAAGGACGTAGAAATGGGAGCAGAATCCAGACTGGACTGGAGAAGGAGACGATGAGGGACCAGGCCAGGCGGGAGGGGTCGCAGGCCTCGGGCGCGGCTGTCTGTGCTGCCGCCCCACTCTGCTCCTCCGAGACCAGCCAGCCGGCTTCCCCAGGCCTCTCACTCCCGGGCCAGCCCTCCGGGGCAGCATTTGTTCTCCCCGGTTCTCCGTGTTTAACTAGGTCCCAGGAACGACTACAGGAAGAAATTCTAACTGGCACCCACACGTGTGGCTCCACCTACCGTGATGTTGGCCCCCGTCAGGCAGTTGATGCGATGCATGTGCTTACAAAACTCGGGGCCGTGTCCTTCCCGGTCTTTATCGTTGTTGGTGACAAACAAATAGGCGTGTATCATCTCATGCAGGAGGGTCTGAAACAGAGAACAATCACTCTGTGACACTTTTGAAATAAAAATGCGTTTTCCCACTCGACCTGGGGTCTCACCCTTCTTTGGCTCCCAGACTCCTTTCAGAAGCTGGTAAGAAGCTGTGGGCCATCTCTCTAAAAGACATCCTCACACAAGTGCACAGCACCGTGCACAGAACCGCTGGAGCTCTGTGTGCGACTCTGCTCAGGAGCGCCAATTCATCCATTCACTGAAATCCAGAAGAGGCCAGTGGGTTCACTGCATAAAAATTTTACAGTTCTCACTATGATTTACATAATGAGAACATTTGAACACCTGAGGGGGGGGCGATTTACAATTCTGTCTGAAGGGGAAAAACACCTTAAGTGAACAAACTCAGAAAAATATATGGGCAACTCACCTCCCAGGCTACTAATTCCTAAACTATAAAGAGCTCCTAAAGTCATAAGGAAAACGACCAACAACGCAATTTTGAAATGGGTCACAGTCACAGAGTTCAGAGAAAAAGAGATGTAAATAACCCATTCACATGAAAAAATGTCCAACTCCATTTATAAAACAAAGGCAAATTAATACTATACTAGTATACCACTTCTTGCTTATGAAGGTCAGTAAAGCTGATAAGGTACTTAAAATAAAAACAAAAAATTAGTTACGTGTGACACCATCACTAAAGCCGAGGACGACAAACATTCCCACGTCTCTGGCAGGAGTGCAGAACAGTACAGCTCCTGTGCAGGATTTGAGGACACCTAACACCACTACAAGTGCACTTACCCTGCTACCCAGCAATACCCCCAGACTAACACAAAACGTCCCAGTCCCGAGTATTTTCATTGTGGCATTGTTTACAATGGCCAGAGCTCAGAAATAAGTGTTTAGCACTAGGGAGGGGCCTGGCTGAATGAACTAGGGTGCATCCACGTAATGGAATACTGTACAGCCATAAAGAATGAAAGAAGATCTCTAGGAAATGATGTGGGAAAACCAACTGAGTGTATTGTTTTAATGTAAAGTTTCAAAACAAGCTAATAAAACCAACTGCACTCCACACCAAGGATGGAGAAATTTAAGTGCAAATTTAACAAAAGCATTTAACGCTGCTGTTTCATAATTTGTTCTAAAAATTGCAAATACATTTTTAACTATATTTTATCATTTATGCTGTTACAGTTGTCCCAAATTTACCCCCTTTGCCCTCCCCATTCCCTCAGGCAACCCCCACTCCGTCATCCGTGACCATGGGTCCTGCCTGTATGTCCTGTGGCTGCTCTCTCCCCTGTGCTGTCCTTCACACCCCCAGGACTGTTCTGTGACTGCCCATCTGTACTTCTCACTCCCTTCATCTTTTTTGCCCATCTCCCCCAACACCCTCCCATCTGGCAGCCATCAAAATGTTCTCTGTACCTATGCTTCTGTTTCTATTCTGCTTGTTTATTTTGGTTTTTAGATCTAACTGCTGACAGATATGTATTTATGGCCATTTTATTGTTCATATCTTTATTCTTCTTAAAGAAGACCTTTAATATTTCATATAATGCTAGTTTGATGATGATGATGAACTCCTTTAGCTTTTTCATGTCTGGGAAGCTCTTTATCTGTCCTTCAATTCTAAATGATTGTTTTGCTGGGTAGAGCAATCTTGGTTGTAGGCCCTTGCTTTTCATTACTTTGAATATTTCTTGCCAATCCTTTCTAGCCTGCAAAGTTTCAGAAATCAGCTGTCAGTCTTACAGGAGCTCCCCTATAGGTAACTAATTGTTTTTCTCTTGCTGCTTTTAAGATTCTCTTTGTATTTAACCTTTGGTATTTTAATTATGATGTATCATTTTTATTTAGGGTTTTTAGGGTATTTTTATTTAATAATTTTATTATGAAATGTCCCTTTTGTTTCATAGTACAACTTATTCCCTTAAAATGTTTAGTCTGGTACTAATATAACCACAACACTTTTCTCTTGTTAAGTGTTTGGAGGATATACATTTTCTTATCTTTTTAAATTTAACATGAGTTTTTAAATGTGTCGCTTTTAATCTAATATGTCATTCCATGTCTTTAACTGGGGTGTTTAGTCTATTTATACTTAATATAATTACTGCCATTGTGTTTAATATAATTACTGATGTATGCTTACCTTTCTTTCTTAAATTAATCAAGCATTTCCATCTAACCATTTGACATTCAGTAGCTATTTACTTTTTTAAAAATTGTGGTAGAATACCAGTAACCTAAAATTTGCCATCTTAACCATTTTTAAACATACAGTTCAGTAGTGTTATGTATATTCTTCATTGTGAGACCCACTACATTTTATTTTCCTTAAAAACAGCATCCCTCATTTTTCTAAGCACATTTTAACGTATTTCCCATCCAACCTCCACCACCCTCTGCTCCTCTGTGCTCACATTTCAAGTGGGATAAGTGGGGCAAGACAAGTCACCCTGTGTGCGTCTTGGAGACTTTCAGGCATTTACTAGGCTTGACTACAGAGTTTCCACTGCTGCTCTTTGGCGGCAGGAGAGACCACCACCTCCGCTGTTTAGAGTGGCCGGCCTTGTGCCAGCTGGTTTTGCCAGCTCAGCAGATGTCCTGGGAGGGCAGCACCACAGGTGGGTAGTGTAAGAGAGTCAAAACTGGTGTCTTGATAGAAAAATTTGGATTCCTAAGTTTTTCTGTTTCTAAATATGCACCTTAAACCAGCTACTTAACGTCACTGAACCTTAATTTGCTCATGTATAGAAATAAGGGTATATTCAGTATATAACACATACTGAAATTTATAAATTATTGTAAGTATCAAGTTAGATACTATGCCTGAAAGCCTTAAAATTTAAAGCACTATAAAAATATAAGGCAATCATTACTATGTGCCCCACAATTAAAGTTTGCAATGAGAGAATACGGAGGGGTTTTTTACATGCACAGAGAGGTTAATTCAGTCTAAATCAGTAAGAATCTCTAAATTAATGGGCTAAGAATCAAGTTTATGCAAAGAATACCTCCACAAGATCCCTTCTTGGTCTCAACTTTAAAAGGGGTTCGCTGAGACGGATGGAGCACATTCCACCTCTCCCTTCATAGGTGCAGATCCCAGCACACCTGAAAGACAAACAGCGCCAGAGCGTCATCTGCCAGATACACACAAAAGGCAAACCTGAAAGGTCAGGCAGGTCCTGATACATTCTTGAGCAGTTCACACAAGAGAACTCCACAGCCGATGGCTTTATTAAAAGCATCCCCACGTTGTTAAAAGAGACCTGCATCTCACCCCAGGCAGGGCGCTACGTGAGGGACGGTGGCTTCCCCTCCCCCAGCCAGGCTGCCAAAGCTCTGGAAGATAGTGTTCTGCCGCTCCCTTCTCCTTCTTCCGAATTATCATCACTTGGGGGCGGTATCAGCCCCATCTCCACCAACATATTTCCAAAGCTGTAAGTCTTATTTTTTGCTTGAATACTACCTAGTTTTAGGTAGTACATAACCACCTGTTGAACTTGTTAATAAAACTCCGTTCACGTACAGGCCTACACTTTCCCGTCGGGATTTCTCCAACTTAGCGTGTGGGAAAGGGGTCCGAGGGGCATCCCTGAAGACCCCTTGGGTCTAGAACTACGGGAATGCCACCCCCGCCTCCAACTCTAACGCCCGGCTCACTGCTAAGTGCTGGTGTCCTAACGGCACAGAGGAAAGGACAAGTCCTGAGCCCTAAGGAACCAGCAAAAGACAAATCAGAGATGTGCTCGTTGATTTTCAAATGAGGTGAGATTCCTAGAAACACCCTTTTTTTTTTCATTGTGTCCGTGGTAAGTCAAACGGTACTGATCTGAGCCACACAGCTTTCTTAAAGCTGTTTCGGCGGGGAAGAGACGGCGGGGACGGAGAAATACACCAGAGGAACCGCCTGGTCCGACACCGGGCAGTCGCGGGTGGGGAAGGGGGAAGGGGGACAGGAGGAGCCCTGCCCGCCTCCCCCGCAGCCGGTGGGTTTGGGACTCACAGGGTCATTCGCCTGCTCCACTTCACCTCCACGGCCTCCAGCTGGCCCCAGAAGAACCGATCGTTGAACTGCACGAACAGGGCCTGCAGATCCGGGGTGGGATCCACCAACTCCCAGGACTCGTCCACCAGTGATAGGGGCTCCTGAGCCTGACCGAGCTTCGAAACCGGCAAGTTCCACTCCTCCTGAAGCCGTAGTGCCAAAACCAGGTCCTCATCCATCACTGCCAGGCTCCCAGGTGGGGTCCGCCAGCATTAGGCTCACTCCGGGGCGCTACTTCCCGTCACTAAGGCTCCAAGGGCCGCGTAGAGCTCTTAGAATATACCGGCTGTTGGGCTATCAGCTCGGCCCACGGGTCTCGCGATAACTCAGGGGAAACTGGCTCGAGAACGAGAACTGAGTTTGCCCCAAACGCCGAAGCCAAGATTCTGAGGTTTAAGAAAAAGAACTCAGCATGACACCTTCTAATGGGCTCAAAACCTGGGTTCCCAGAACTCTGGCAAAGGACGGTTTCAGGAAGCTCCTACCTCCTTCACGAAAAGTCCGTGATTTCAAAAACATCACGGTACGCGCATGTGCAGTACTTCGTAACTCTCGGCCTCGCCCCCCACTCACTTCCGCGTTAGCTCCTCCTACGCAAGCGCTTTAGGCCACTGGCGTTCCTGCGCAGGTGCGTTGTCCCAGTTACGTTCATTGCGCAGGCGCACTATCTAAAGCTCAGACTCGAGCGCAGGCGTACTCGATTCCCTTCCAATCCAGTTTCCTCAGCCCCGGAGCTGCACCGGGTTTGGGTGGGCCCCTGCAGTGGCTGCACCGGCAACAGCGAAAGTGACAGCGACTGCGTGAGACGTGGACGGAAATGGCGATGTCAGACAGTGGAGCGAGCCGCCTGCGGCGGCAGCTGGAGTCGGGAAGCTTTGAGGCGCGACTGTACGTGAAACAGCTTTCGCAGCAGTCAGACGGGGACCGGGACCTGCAGGAACACAGGCAACGCATCCAGGCGCTGGCGGAGGAGACGGCGCAGAACCTGAAGCGTAACGTCTACCAGAACTACCGGCAGTTCATAGAGACGGCCCGTGAGATCTCCTACTTGGAGAGCGAGATGTATCAGCTCAGCCATCTGCTGACTGAGCAGAAGAGCAGCCTGGAGAGCATCCCGCTTACCCTGCTGCCAGCTGCCGCCGCCGCTGGGGCCGCCGCGGCCGCCGGGGGTGAGGAGGGAGGAGGGGGCGCAGGGTGCCGAGACCACCGCCGGGGCCAGGCTGGTCTTTTCCCTACCCCTGGCGGCGCCTCCCGAGACTGCGCTGGTTCGGGCGAGGAGGGAAAGCAGCGCACTCTCACCACCCTGCTTGAGAAGGTGGAAGGCTGCAGGCACCTGCTGGAGACGCCTGGACAGTACCTGGTATACAACGGGGACCTGGTAGAATATGAGGCGGACCACATGGCCCAGCTGCAGCGGGTACACGGCTTTCTCATGAACGACTGTTTGTTGGTGGCCACCTGGCTGCCACAGCGGCGGGGGATGTATCGCTATAACGCTCTCTATCCCCTGGATGGTTTGGCCGTGGTCAATGTCAAGGACAACCCACCCATGAAGGACATGTTCAAGCTGCTGATGTTTCCTGAGAGCCGCATTTTTCAGGCGGAAAATGCTAAAATCAAACGAGAGTGGTTGGAAGTGCTGGAAGAAACCAAGAGGGCTCTCAGTGAAAAAAGACGAAGGGAGCAGGAGGAGGCAGCAGCTCCTCGAGGGCCGCCCCAAGTGACTGCCAAAGCTAACCCGTTTGAGGATGAAGAAGACGACGAACCACCTGTTCCTGAGGTAGAGGAAGAGAAGGTGGACCTCTCAATGGAATGGATCCAGGAGTTGCCTGAAGATCTGGATGTCTGCATTGCCCAGAGGGACTTTGAAGGGGCTGTTGACCTGCTGGATAAGTTGAACAATTACCTGGAAGATAAGCCCAGTCCACCTCCTGTAAAAGAACTGAGGGCCAAAGTGGATGAGCGCGTGCGACAGCTTACCAAGGTGCTCATGTTTGAACTGTCCCCAGGTCGTTCCCTGAGAGGTGGCCCAAAGGCTACTCGCCGGGCAGTGTCACAGCTCATCCGGCTTGGCCAGTGCACGAAGGCTTGTGAGCTGTTTCTGAGGAACAGGGCAGCAGCTGTGCACACGGCCATCCGCCAGCTTCGCATTGAAGGTGCCACTTTACTCTACATTCATAAGCTGTGCCATGTCTTCTTCACCAGCCTCCTTGAGACTGCAAGGGAATTTGAGACGGACTTCGCAGGCACTGACAGTGGCTGCTACTCTGCCTTCGTGGTCTGGGCAAGGTCGGCCATGGGCATGTTTGTGGATGCTTTCAGCAAGCAGGTGTTTGATAGTAAGGAGAGCCTCTCTACAGCAGCTGAGTGTGTCAAAGTGGCGAAGGAGCACTGTCAGCAACTCGGCGACATCGGACTAGACCTCACCTTCATTGTCCATGCCCTTCTGGTGAAAGACATCCAAGGGGCCTTGCACAGTTACAAAGAAATCATCATTGAAGCCACCAAACATCGCAACTCGGAGGAGATGTGGAGGAGGATGAACCTGATGACTCCAGAGGCCCTGGGCAAACTCAAAGAGGAGATGAAGAACTGCGGGGTGAGCAACTTCGAGCAGTACACAGGGGACGACTGCTGGGTGAACCTCAGCTACACGGTGGTTGCTTTCACCAAACAGACCATGGGCTTCTTGGAAGAGGCACTGAAGCTGTATTTCCCAGAGCTGCACATGGTACTTTTGGAGGGCCTGATGGAAATCATTTTGGTTGCTGTTCAGCATGTGGATTATAGTCTTCGGTGTGAGCAGGATCCAGAGAAGAAGGCTTTTATCAGACAGAACGCATCCTTTCTGTATGAAACAGTCCTCCCCGTGGTGGAGAAACGGTTCGAAGAAGGTGTAGGGAAACCCGCCAAGCAACTCCAGGACCTGAGGAATGCATCTAGACTTATTCGTGTGAATCCTGAGAGCACAACTTCAGTGGTCTGATACTTGGGTCTGTGTACATGTATTCATATATATTGTTTCTATATTATTTATATTTATATTAAGTTGCCTTAGCATTTTCTCTGTAGTCTCAAACACAGCTTAACAGTAAAAGATGCCCTCTCAGATAGAAATCCAAAAGGAGAAGGAAAAATGTTAAGCCCAAGTAACAAAAATGTTGCAATTAATAAAATATATAATATGCTTTCCTTTTAAGTTATGCTAACTCTCTAATGAATATATTGTCACACTGTATCATCTTAGCTTATCCTTTAAGTCAAAACACGCTTTCTCATAGTACATGCTGTGCAGCACAGGGAAGTAATATGTCTAAGTATTTTATGAAAAGTTTCCCAGTTTGCTAAAATGTTAGATTTTTTAAAGGATCCAGTGCCATATAAAACACTCTGCTTCATATACTTTCCCACCATTAAATGTGATTAAATAGTTGCGGGGGGGTGGTGAGAAAATTGGTTTTAGGGTAAATTTTGTTCAAAAGAATTCCTACCTGAAAGTAGCTAGTGTACACGTACAAATACTCTGACCTGTATAGCACACACAAGGAAGCATAAAAGAGTCCAGCAAACATTTACAGTGTGATTGGAATGGCTAGTTATTTTCAGCTGCTAATGAGCAGCTTTATAGTATTTGATTTGGGATCCTTGACTTGAAAATCTTAAGGACTATGACAAATACTTTTTTCAACATATTCCTGAACTGTCCAGCTGGGGCTTTTATCTATCATTAAAAATAATAATAATAGAAACAAGACACACTAAGGAACCTGGAGGCACCAGTAATTTTTAGCTGCCCTGCTTCTACAGTGGCTCAAACTTCATGCAAATGAGAAAAAAGTTTTCATTGAAATATATATTTAGATATCGGGATCTGGTGGATGGGAAATTAGAAAAAAATCATATGCAAGCCCCATACTGTTCTCAAGTATGACTGCTTTGAGCAGAGAATTACGGTTGCTTTTTTGGTAACAAAGTGGAGAACAGAAAGGCGAGACAGTGCACCCGAAACCAAGGGAGAAGACCTTCTGATGACTCTTAGGATGCCCAAGGCTGCATTTTTCCTGTTTGGTCTTTTATTTTACTTGCCTTATTTTTTTTAAATGAACACAACCCTTACTTCAGATTGTTTAATAAAACAAAAATAACGAAGGAAATGGAACTTCCCCCAACTTCTAGCCTGTTGCATCTGTCGTGTACCAATTCTACAACATTGCTCGTCCCCTGAGAGAAATTGTGCCAGCTGAGGTCCGTTTGTCCCAGCTCCGGGTTGTGACTTTTGTTTATAGGTGCCATTTCTGATGCCAATTACTTCGAAAGGTCGTTTCTTTTATCTGAATAAAAATAGTGGTGTTAAGACTGTGGAAATTATGTAAAACCTCACATAGCTTCCAATACTGGTTTAATTACCGGTTGTAAAACTCCTTGACATAATTTTACTCAGGCCAGAGGAGCCTTTTATGTTCAGCTCTGCCCATTTAAAAGGTTGAAAATTATCAAAGTTAGAGATTTTCTTTGACTAAGGTTTTTTTTTTACATAACTGGGGGATTTTCTAGATAATAACCATACTGGATATCTCTGCTGAACAAAAAGTTACAATTTGTCTTTTTTAAGATCACTGGAAACTTGAATTTGATAAAAATGTTGTGATTATTTTGTGCCACTTATGGTTTCTAAAAGGATAATGTATGAAACACACACTGTGCAGATACTTCATGCTGGGTCCATAAAATGATCATCTGAAATCAAAACTTCATTGAAGGCGTGGAGTTATAACAACTTAACTGTGTATACTCAGATATTTAACTGGTTGCTTCTCCATAGAACTGTCTGCTTTTTAAAACTGGAACTCAGAATTTCCTTCTGTTAGAATGTACGCGCTCCTTCGTCCAAGTTGCAGCTGAAGGAAATGCGCTTTTGCTGGATCAGTTAGTGTGGGGGCTGGTTCAAGACCCCCACTGTGCAGAGTGTACCTCTGTGCCAGGACCAAGCGATTGTAGGCCGTCCCTCAGAGTGGGGTCAGAGCTCTTCTCTCCTTTTTGTTTCATTAGACTCCAAGGCAAGTGCTGAAACTTGAATGCACTTAGAGATTGCTCAGAATGTAGCAGGTACTGAACAAACCACTGAAGGGTTGACTGCCTTATTTGCTGGCCTCCAACATAACACTGTCACTTGAGCTTGGAGTCACAGACTTGACTGAACTCATTACTGTTGAAAAAAAGACACCCTGTGGAATTAACTGTCTCTTTGATTAAAGCCTCCTGTCACGTAAGTGCTGAAAACTGTCTTGTTTTTTGTTTAAAATAGCACCTGTACTGACATGATCAGCATTTGTATTTTGCAACTTGCTTACCTGGGATCGGTAATTCGGGACTCACCATGTAGTATACAACCGGTTTATGGACACGTTGCCTATTGCCATGCTGTGATGTGAGGGAACCTGAAACGTTTGTCAAAATAAAGCTTACGATGTTTCTTACACTGGATAACATTGGTTGATGTTACGATGTTCTATGTCTCTTTCTTTAACCAGGATTTAATATTCTTACGTCCTGTTACTGAAA